AATGGAAAAACAAAGCAGATGGGCAAACAACTAGGCAAGTTTGCATGGGCTAAGTGGGACAAAGGTAAATAATGATGTATGCACAACCTTGGAACATCAGGGCTCTGGGATACAGGGATTGAGACATGGTTGGAATGTGGAAAAGGGGGGAAATAATGTTAAGATGCTTGGCTGTCTTTTGAATCTTGGTTTCACTGGCAGACCATTATAAAATAGACACTTGAGGGGGAGAGAAAGGAATAGCCAGAAATATCACCATAGAAAGCTTGTAAGTCTGTCTTCAGCCTATAACTGATTAGAATACCTAAAATGCGGCTACAATGTGCCCAGTGAAGGAGGCTTCCTGAGGAGTCTCTGTATTACACAAGACCATAGGTGGATTTCTGAACAGCATCCATAATCTTCTGAGGGGAAATTTCCACTTTAAAGGACAAGCAGACCAGCCTGGAACGGCCAGAAGAACAGAAGATACTTCTTGAAAGAAAGACTGACAGGAAAAATACAAAACAATACAGGCAGATCGACTGATTACTACAAGAACAAACAAGTGGCTCACCCAGGAGCCATCAAGGCAAGTGGTCGTCCCCTCAATGCAAACCTCCTTTGAAGGCTGGGACCCAATGGGAATACGTGCTCTGATCGGTGACCATGTTGATCGCCAATAGGGGAAGTGAGGGAAGGGCAGCAGTGGAGCTGCAAGCTAAGCCCTACAACGTTCAAACCCGGCGGGAGACCTGGCTGGCCAGCCATGTGGCAAGACCTGGGGACTCTTGGGCCCAGAGTCAGTGACATAGCCACAGAGGACTAGAGTGGAGAGTGAAGCATCCAGTTGATAAGAAGAGAGGTACATGCATAAGTACACCCACACTTGTAGAGAATACCCACCTGACCTGGCTTCAGTGGCTGGATGATCAGAGCTCAACTAGAAGAAGAAAGAAGAGGACAAAAATAATAATCTGGTACAATTTGATGAACCTGACCTACACCTATGGAAGCAGTAGCTCAAAAGAGGGAACTAATCTTCACAGCGAGGATCACTCCCACCCCCTCCACACAAGGAGAGGACAGGGATGGGCAACTTGGACATTGGCTACCCAGAATGAGGGGGTTACAGAGGCAAGAAGTGACTGACTTACAAGCTTTCAAGAGGGAACCTAGATCCAGAGGGCGTGGAGCAAGGTAGAATCTCCATTGAGTAGTATCCAATTTGTCTAAGTGGGGCTGAGGAAAGGAGATGAGGATAGGTCTCTTGTGATACAATGGTGAATAATTGCTATCAGGACTGATTGTGAGGGTTGGAAATGTAAAGATAGATGTTTTGTAGCAAATGGAGGGGAGGGACTAACTTTGCAGTCTAGGGGCGAGGTCTCTGGGACCATCAAGGGAGAAGAGCGGAGAACGGAACGGAACCCTACCCAGGGAAGCAGTGATGTCAGAGATGAAGGCAGAGACAACGACACGGAGAGATGGAGTGGCTGGGGACTTTGGACCCGGAGAGGGAGCGGGCCTGTGTGCTGACGACCTGGGGGCAGGCTTGCGAAGTATGCCCTGTGGTTGGTGGATGGTGCATCGAGGGAATTGTAACCATGGCAAGGAAACGACATACAGCGGGATCAATGTAAAACTAATGTCCTCCCATGTAAACTATCACATAACTCAAAATAAAGCATCCTATGTTCTGTTTGAACAACTGCCTCTTGGTCCAGGTACAGATTCCCCATGAGCACAATTAAGTGTTCCGGAATACTCATACTTTGCAATGTTGTCCATAGTTCGTCATGACCCACACAATTGAAAGCCTTTGCATAGTCAATGAAACACAGATAAACATCTTTCTGATATTCTCTGGCTTCAGCCAAGATCCATTGGACATCAGCAATGACATTCCACAGGCTCTTCTGAATCCAGCTTGAACCTCTGGAAGTTCTGTGTCAACATATGCTTGCAGCCATTTCTGTATTGTTGTTGTTGTTGTCAGGTGCCATTGAGTCAGAACCGACTCATAGCGACCCCATGCAAAGTAGAACAAAACAATGTCTGATCCTGGGCCAACCTCACTACCGCTGCCACACTTGAGTCCATCAATGATGACACCTGGCCAATCCATCTCATTAGGGGTCTTCCTCTTTTTCTCTGACCCTCCACCTTACCCAGCATAACATCCTTCTCCAGCAACTGTTTCCTTTGGACAATATGTCCAAAGTATGAGAGACAAAGCTTAGCCATCCTGGCCTCCAAGGAGCACTCTGGCTGCACTGCTTCCAAAACAGATCTATTGGTTCTTTTGGCAGTCCATGGCACTTTCAGTATTCTCCTCCAACACCACAACTCAAAGGCATCAATTCTTCTACAATCTTCCTTATTCACTGTCCAGCTTTCGCATCCATATGAGGCTATTGAAAACACAATGGCCTGGGTCAGGCGCACCTTAGTCCTCAAGCTGACATGGGATATCAAAGAGATTGTCACATGATTTCCACATTCCATTGGGTCACCTCTCTTTGGAATGGGCACAAATATGGATCTCTTCCAATAAGTCAGCCACATAGTTATCTTCCAAATTTCTTGGCAGAAATGAGTGAGTGCCTTCTGTGCCACCTCACTTTCTTGAAAGATTTCAACTTTTATTCCATCAATTCCTGGTGCTTTGTTCTTTGCCAGTTCCTTCAGTGCACCTCTTGAAATTGTTGAACATTAACCATTTCCTTTGGTACAGTGACTATGTATTCCTTCCATCTTCTCTTGATGCTTTCAACATCATTCAATAATTTACCCAGAGAATCTTTCAATAACGAGAGTCGAGGCTTGAATTTTTTCTTCAGTTCCCCCAGCTTGAGAAATGCTCAGCGTGTTCTTCCTTTTTGGTTTTCTGATTCCAGATCTTTTTACATTTTATTGTAATATTTGGCTTTATTTTCTCGAGCTGATCTTTGAAATTTTCTGTTCAGCTCTTGGACCTCCTCATTTCTTCCATTTGCTTTAGCATCTCTACACTGGAGAGCAAGTTTCAGTGTCTCTTCTGACATCCATTTTGACTTGAGCATAAATAGCAAAGTTTTAAAAAACAGCAAATGCTGACAAGAGACTGGGATTTTCCAATACTGATAATGGGACTGTAACCTCTGTAGAAAATGTCATGGCACTGTCTCAATGAGTTGGAAATAGAAATACCGCATGATCTAGCAATTCCTCTACTTGGTGTATTTCCTCAAGAATAACCTCAAGGTTGAAAGTTCAAGGCCCCCAGATGCTCCTTGGAAACCCTACACAGGATCATTATGAGTCAGAACTGATAGCTGGCACTTTGCAACATGTTCATAGCAGCACTGTTCACAATAGAAAAAAAAAAAAAAAGGAGACAGCCAGTCTAAATGCCCAACAATGGAAGAAGGTTAAACAAACTTTGGTACATACATACAATGGTATACTGCAAAACATTGAAGGACAAAGCGCCTCACAACATGGTTGGACCTGGAGGATATTATCCTGAGTGAAATTTGTCAATCACAAAAGGATAAATATTGTATGAGAACACTGTTGTAAAAAGCTAAGAAAAAATTTCCTTGATAAACATTCTATGATGGTTACAGGGATTGAAGGGGAAATTATTCATATGCTAGAGGATAAACACATGTTAATATGGGTGATGGGGCAGGCAATATACAATAAGAGGCAGGTTGGCAAAGGAAAAAAGAAGGTAGCAGGGGACACAAGAAGGAAAATGAATAAAGGTAAATACTATTAACTGATGATACATGGAAGGTATTGCAATCATTGAATGAAGCAAAGTGTATGATTTGTTGAATGTAAACCTTCACAATAATAATAATAAACAAAAAGTTGGCAACAGCCATATTGTTTGGCCCAGTAATCCCTCTACTTAGTATATATCCTCAAGAAATACGAGCCAGGATATGAGTAGATATATGCACACCCATATTTACTGCAGCACAATAATTAATAGCAGAAAGATGGAAGCAACATAAATGCCCATCAATAAAAGAACGGATAATAGAACAGTGGAATACTATGCAACACTTATGAGTAATAATGAATCTGCAAAACACCTCATAACATGAACAAACCTGGAAAACATTATGTCGAGTTAAATTAGTCTATCCCCAAAGGGCAAATATTGTATGCAACCACTATTGCAAAAACTCACGTAAAGGTTTTCTTGCTAAAACAAACATGCTTAGATGGTTATCAGGGGTGGAGTCCTCGTGTGGCATTGTAGGATAAGCACTGGTCTGCTAACCACAAGGTTGGCTGTTCAAACCCACCAGTCACTCCCCGGAAATCCTATACAAGGTCTTTATGAGTCAAAACTGACTCAACAGCACTTAACAACAAACAACAAAAGGGGTGGGAGGGAAAGCAATTCACTGGCTAGAGGGTAGACACATGTTAACTCAGGTGACAAGGAAGGCAATATACAACAAGAGGGAGGTTGGAAGAAAAATGGTGAAGACAGGATGCAAGGATTAAAGGGGATAGCAGCAAGTATTGTTATATACACAACTTTGCAACAACAGTGTTTTATGGGTAGATACGTAGATAGATACACAGGCTAAACGGGTATGGGAGAGAGCGTGTGTGTATACCTACAAATATATAAGGGTTTGACAGAGAACATTTGTAAATGGGTCTTTACTTTGGCTGCAAATATACCTATGCATGGGTATGCATCACATGTCACAGGGTGTGGTTCATACCCCAAACACTGTACCCTTTACCTTGTACCTTGTGACCCTGTCCCTGTCTTGTGCCCTCATCCTATGCCCATGCTCCAAACCCTGCATCCCACACTGTGCCCCAGGCTCTGTGCCCTGTGTTCTGCCCATGGGGCCGGTGTCTCCTGTGTCCCATGTCCATGTTTCACACCCTGTGCCCTGGACCTGTGTCCTGTGTCCTGCACTCCCAATCTGTGCCCCACAGTGATCCCCCACCCATGCCTGCATCCCAGCCCACACTTCATGTGCCCTCGGTGCCTGCCTTACCACTGAGGTAGTAGCTCCTCCGCATCTTGTCCCCAGAGGTCAGACTGTTCTCTGAGAAGCACACCTTCTTGGGCCGGACCATCTCTCGGGCCTCCATCAGGGTCTTGTCAGCCAAGGCATCCTGCAAAGGACTGAGAAGCGGGGACAGCTTCCTGTCCATGCTTCGTGATGGGTGCAGCTCTGGGGATCCAAGGAAGGCCTTGAAGGGTACTGAGGCAGCAGCCGTGCAGCCATGGGAGGCCTCATCCTCACTGGAGAGATTGACATGCGAGCACAGCAAGTCCTCCAGGGAGGACGCCTGCATCTGGGATGGCATGTCGGGGATGCTGGCAAACCTTCCATACTCTGTAGCTGGGACAGGGGAGAAATAAAGGTCAGGCTGAGTCCCTAGCACATCCCCCAGAGAAGTATAGTGACCCCACACAAACCTCTGTACCTTCTTGGGCACCTGTCAGCATCTCCACCACCTTCAGGTCCCCTTTCCCCTTTCCCCTTTCCCTGTTTGGTGTGAAAGTAGAGTTATAGTTTCGGTGAAGAAAACCTGCAGCCCTCTGATTGAGAGCCACTCAAGCGAGTATGCGGATTTCGGTCCCCTGTTGTCCACACACATTACAGAGTGACATTCTGTGTGCTTTAAATTAGACATAAATGATATCACTCTACACAGTTTATTCCACGACATATCTTTACACCACAGCATTTTGCTTTGGAGATTCATTCATGTTAAACCATCTGGTGGCTCCCTGTGCACTCAACCATTTCCAGGTACATATGTGCACATCCACAAACCCACATACACTCAGACACTCTCTCTCACACACACATACACTCTTACTCATATGACCACACACACACGCTTACATAGTCTCTCCCACAGTCATACTCACATACTCACACACTTACACACACACAACTATTTTTATCCATTGCCCCGTGGATGGACATGCAGCTGTCTGTTTTCAGAGGCTGCCATCAGCATACTTGGCCTTGTGTCATTTACTCACAGGGGAGCATCCTTGAAGTCTACACCTGGACTCAGGGTGTACGCATGTAGATCTTTGTTTCCAAAACAAAGGGGCAGTTTTACCCCTTAACACTGCACTGGAGTCCATCCCCTATTCTATCTCCTCACCAGTACTTGATGTGGTCAGACCAGACTGACAGAGGTAATGTAGTGTTTTGCTGTTGTTATTTTGAAGCTCCTAATTCTTGGTGTGATGCTGTAAGATAAGTATGTGACTGCTGGCACAAAACAACTATCCCTAGTGAAATTAGACATCTTTTTATAAACTCGTTGGCTTCTTGGCTTTCCTTTCTGTGGATGATCTATGTCTCCTCTTTGATTGCTGTTATATGTCATCAAGTCAATTCCTACTAATAGTGACCCTAAATGACAGGGTTTCCCAGGTTGTAACCATTATGGCAGATGAAAGATTGCCAGGTCCTTGGTTAGGCAGGCTTGTCTTAATTATGTCTAACAGTTCCTTGTTGTTGTTGTTGTTGTCAAGTGCTGTAGAGTCGATTCCAACTCATAGCAACCCTGTACAGGGTTTCAGAAGAGTGGCTGGTGAGTTTGAACTGCTGACCTTGTGGTTCAAACCAACCTTGCATTCTAATTCCTAGTTCATTCAATGTGTTTCAAATATTTTCTCCCAGCTAGGGTTGCTATGAATCTGAACTGACTCGGTGTCACTCAACAACAGCAAACGGTTGGCTGATATTTTGCCTTGTTTAGCTTTGACCTTTTTTATTGTGACTCTTGCCATACGGAATTTTTCTTTTACATAGTCAAAGTCAATTTATTCATTCTTTTGTGCTTTATGAAATCTTTTTCTAACCTCATGTCATAAATTTGTTCTCCTCGCAGTAAAGCAAGTAAATGTATATATTTGAGAAAGTGCTTCATCAGTCCTGTTGTGGCACAGTAGGGATAAGCACTTGACTACTAACTGCAAGGTCAGCAGTTCAAATCCATCAACCGCTCCTTGGAAACCCTATACAGGGTTTCGACTCAATGGAACGTAACAAACAAAACAACCAGAATAATTAATACTAAAACATGCCTATGCTGAAGGAACCAACTAATCTGCCCCAGCAGTGACTTCCAAAAAAAATTTCAGGAGAAAAAGTCATCTGCACATGTCCACAAGAGGGCAGCCATTCTGAGCTACCACCTGAGTCAGAGCTGAACTCAAAGCTTCAAACGCCAACTCAGAGCCAGAATCCTAATGGTCACTTTAGTGCCCACAGCCAACTGCATGGCCCAGAAACAGAAGAATGTTTGGCAAGAATTTAGTAAGCATGCTGTGTTTGTTGTTAAGTGCTGTCAAATCAGTTCTAACTCATGGCAATCCTGTATAGGGTTTCCAAAGAGTGGCTGATAGGATTCAACCGCTGACCTTCCACTTAACAGTCCATTAAGTATGTTGTTGCTGTTGTCAGGAGCCAATGAGTCAATACTGATTCATATCAACCTTATGCACAACAGAACAAAACACTTCCCTGTCCTGCACCAAACTCACAACCATTATTACATTTGAGCCCATTGTTGCTGCCACTGTGTCAATTCATCTCATTGGTGGTCTCACTCTTTTTCACTGGCCCTTCACTTTACCAAGCATGATGTCCTTCTCCAGGAAGCAGTATCTCCTGACAATATGTCCAAAGTATGAGAGACAAAGTCTGGCCATCAGATTTCCAAAGAGCATTCTGGCTGTACTTCTTTAAACACAGATTTGTTTGTTCTTTTGGTGTCCAAGGTACTTTTAATATTCTCCTCGAACACCGTAAGTCAAATGCATCAATTCTTCTACAATCTTTATTCATTGTCCAGTTTCACATGCATATGCGGTTACTGAAAACACCATAGCCTGGGTCAGGCACACCTTAGTCCTCAAACTGACATCTTTGCTCTTGAACACTTTAAAGAGATCTTGTGCAGCAGATTACCTAGTGCAATACACTGCTTGATTTCTTGACTGCTGCTTCCATGAGTGTTGATGGTTGATCCAAGCAAAATTAAGTCTTTGACAATTTCAATCTTCTCTCCATTTATCTTGATGTTATTTATTGGTCCAGTGGTGAGGATTTTTGTTTTCTTTACATTGCTGTACAACCTATACTGAAGGCTGTGGTCTTTGATCTTCATCAGTAAGTATTTTAAGTCCTCTCACTTTCCGCAAGCAAGGTTGTATCATCTGCATATCACAGGTTATTAATGAGTCTTCTTCCAATCCTGATGCCATGTTTTTCTTCATGTAATCTAGATTCTCGGATAATGTGCTTAGCATAAGTATGGTGAAAGAATACCACCCTGGTGCACATGTTTCTTAACTTTAAACCATTCAGTGTCCCCTTTGAACTGTCTATGTACAGGTTCCTCATAAGCACAATTAAGTGTTCTGGAATATTCATTCTCTGCAATGTTGTCCATAACTTGTCATGATCCATACAATGGAAAGCCTTTGTGTAGTCAATAAAGCACATCTTTCTTGTATTCTCTCTTCTTTCAGCCAAGATCCATCTGACACCAGCAATGATAGTCCTCATTCCACTTCCTTGTCTGAATCTGGCTTGGATATCTGGCAGTTCTCTGTCAATGTACTGTTGCAACCGTTATTGAATTATCTTTAGCAAAATTACTTGCATATGATATTAATGATATTGTCCGATGATTTCTGCATTCTCCTTTGAATGGGCACAAATATGTATCTCTTCCAATCAGTTGGCCAAGGTGCTATCTTCCAAATTTCTTGGCATAGCTTAGTGACTCCAGTACAACAATTTGTTGGAATATTTCAATTTGTATTCCATCAATTCCTGGAGTCATTTTCTTTGCCAATGCTTTCAATGCACCTTGGAATTCTTCATTCAGTATCACTGGCTCTTGATCTTATGTTACCTCTGGAAATGGCTGAACACTGACCATTTCTTTTTGGTACAGTGACTCTGTATATTCCTTCCATCTTCTTTTGATGCTGTCTGCATCATTCAATATTTGCCCCCACCAGGAGTCCTTCCATATTGCAGTCACAGCTTTATTTTTTATCTTCAGTTCCTTCAGCTTGATAAAGGCTGAGTGCGTTCTTCCCTCTTGGTTTTCTAATTCCAGATCTTTGCACATTTCATTATGACACTTGAATTTGTGTTCTCAAGCTGCCCTTTGAAAATGTCTATTCAGCTCTTTTACCTCCACATTTTTTCCATTTGCCTTAGCATCTCTATGCTGGAGAACAAGTTTTAGAGTCTTTTCTGACATCCATTTTGGTTTTTCCCTTCGGTCTTGTCTTCTTAATGACCTTTGCTTTCTTTCTGTATGATGTTCTTCATGTCATCCCACAGCTCTTCTAGTCTTCCATCTTTAGTATCTAATTCATCAAATCTGTTCTTCACATGATCTCTAAATTCAGGTGGGATATGTTCAAGGTCATATTTTGGCTCTTGTGGACTTGTTTTAATTTTTCTCAGCTTCATCTTGAACTTGCATATGAGCAATTGATGGTCTGTTCCACAGTCTTCCCCTGGCTTTGTTTTAGCTGATGATACGGAGCTTTCCCACCATCTCTTTCTACAGATGGAGTCAATTTGATTTCTGTGTATTCCAGCTGGTGAGGTCCATGTGTATAGTTGTCTTTTATGTTGTTTATAAAAGATATTTGCAACGAACAAGTCATTGGTCCTGTAAACATCCACGATGCGATCTCTAGCATTTTTTCTATCCCCAGGGCCATATTTTCACAATGAATGACTTTCCTGTTTATTTCCAACCTTTGCATTCCAATCACCAGTAACTATCAATATATCTCAATTGAATGTTTGATCCATTTCAGACTAAAAAAGCTGGCATAATTCTTCAGTTTCATCAACATTGGCTTTAGTCATTGGTGTATAAATTTGAATAATAGTTTATTGGCTGGTCTTTCTTGTGTGCATATAGATATTATCCTATTACAATGTTATACTTCCAGATAAATCTTGAAATGTTCTTTTTTGTTGTTGTTTTGAAATGTTCTTTTTGATTATGAATGAGAGGCCATTCCTTTTCAATTTCTCATTCTCTACATAGTAAACCATAAGGTTGTCAGATTCAAAGGGACTAATCGGCTCACTAATACCTAAGATATCAATGTTTATGCATTTCATTTCATTTTTTACAACTTCCAATTTTCTTAGATTCATACTTCAGACATTCCATGTTTCAATAATTAATGGATGTTTAAAGTTATTTCTCCTCATTTTGAGTCATGCCCCATCAGCAAATCAAGGTCCCAAAAATTTTACTCCATTCGCATCAACTCTTCCCCAGCCATATTTTGGGTGCCTTCCAACCTGAAGAGCTCATCTTCCAGCAC